ATGAAAAATTTAACCATGCTTTAATATTTGAATGATGCATGCACTACAAGGCAGTAGCAGGTGAATGATAAAAAAAAAGCGCTGTTCTGGCAGATTTCACATGCGCAAACACTGAACAGCGATTATTATGTAAATTTCTTGAAAATCATTTTCGTGGAGCCCTGGGGAAGAAAAGACCGGATTTGGTTAAGACACAGAGGTTTAGCCGCAGGATAATGTTTGGATAAATGTTGCTGCTGTGACAGTGGCAGCATTAACTAAAAAAATACCCCGAAGTACAAATGTTGGAGATACTGAAGTAAAATTGACAGCATTGTCTGAAATCGACCTGTCAACTCTGGAATGCTTTGCATACAGCTTGAATTTGACATGCATGGGAATTTTGAGCTTTTTCAGCACTGAAAAAACAGTTATGCGCGAAGAGGAAAAGTTGAGATGGAAAATTAAAAAAAAAAAAAAAAAAAAAAAAGTCTTCTACTCACAGCGGGCGGATAACACAGAGGATTTCACAATAACGGTCTGTTTCCTGTTTTTAAAGCTTTTATAAAATGCTGTGGAAAGTGTAATTCAATGTAGAAAGTGTAATTCAACGTGAAAGATTCAAATTTGGAAAAGAAAAATTATAAGGGATGTAGAATATAGATCTGATTTTGAACAAAAGAAAACTTTCCAGCCAGCCTCTGGTATTTGACATACGACTGCAGATGCTTTATTATCGCAACATTGCAAGTATTTTCAACTGAAATGATACTACTTCTATGGTTTTTCACGGTATTTTTACAAAGCCGAGAAGGTTGATTTTCTTTGGAATCTTTTATTTCATACATTTTGAAATTTTACGGAAATTAAATTGTAACAGAGTTTTTTTTTATTTTTACGGAAATGAAATTTTACGGAAATTAAATTGTAACAGAGTTTTTTTTTATTTTTACGGAAATGAAATTTTACGGAAATTAAATTGTAACAGAGTTTATACGATATAAAAAGTATTTATGTAAAATGTTAGTGAATGTATAATATATACCTTTTATTATGCAAAGGTACAGCAAAATTATTGCAGTGTAAAGTACCAAGCAAATTTTGAGTCAAGTAAGTAATATAACAATGCATACAATGATAAATGTAAATATATATGCTAATATGTCAAGATGCTAATAAAGAATCCGGGAAAGGATGGGATTCCAAACGATCCGCTAGCAATGTGGAATAGATCGAAAGTTTATATCTTGCGGGAAGTTCAGGAATAGAAACGTAAACTCAAGTATTAATTACCCTTTATTGCTCACAATAAAGATATACTGTCTGCCCCTTTCTGAGAGCGTATAGCAAAGCCTCAACTTGGGCTTAAACTCAAAAGTGTAAGAAATAAGAACTAACTAATGACTAACTAAAGAGATCTAGGCGAGGCTAACACAGATCTAACTCTGTGTCAGTTTAATAATTCGATATTTAGGGGTTGAATCAGTTTACCCCTAAATATCGAATTATCTAGCGAAGCTGTCAAGGGCACGTAACACGGCGGAGCGTAGTAACATCTTAGAGAGACGTAGTCAAAAGGCAAACGCGCGCTACATAGAAATTCTAATTCTCTCTCGAAGTCAGTGGAACTTCGACTTAAATACTACTCCTTCTCATTTGCATTAAATGCGATTCTAAAAACGCATTCTGGTAAGGAACTGCAAGCTGAAATTAGAAGAGATGGGAAAGTTGTGCGACTTAAAAATAACTGTTACAAACTTATGGCAAACCTTACAAGGGAATGCTGATGTTTTATCTTTACTGCACACCTACTTTTTAACATACCATTTTGACCATCTTGAGCAAGTGCCCATAACAAAATAATGTCTAAATCCCTTTGTATATTACTTTCATTACACAAAATGAAACCACAACATTTCATTACACAAATCATGTGGTTAATTAACTATATAAATAACCAACAGCAACTAGTAACACCATACTGAAAAATGTTTTGTTGCAGGTAAATAAAATGCTGAAATTGAATCGCATTTAATGTCATTTTGTGTAATGGCAGTTATGTTGTTAGCTATGATTTTAGAATAATGACGCACGTCTTAGAAAATACCACAAAGCAAGGAAAAAATATTCTCCAAGAACTTTTCTCATTTAGAACTGTACAAGTTGTTCCAAATTTTAAGAGTAATATTTTAAAATAATCATAAAAATACAAAATTCCCAAAACAGTTCAAATAATTTTGATTTATAATTCATTGAAATTGTTAGGTAAAATATACTTTTAACAGTTTTAAATATATAAAATTTAAACAAGCATTCATACACATGCATGTTCAAAGATTTCGCACCATAAAATAGTTACTTAAATATTATAATACTAGGAAAATAAGACAAAGAAACAGTCATAGTTTGACGTAGATTTTAAATATAGTTATCGATTTTGTGGGAAAGTGACATAGATCCATCGTTTACAGAAACCAAATGATTTCACACTGAGGCTGAAAACAAAACAGCCAGATATATAACGGAAAGTATTGGTGGGACCAAAAACCAAATAGAAATACAGCCAGCTGTTGGGCAAGAAAGAAACCGAAAAATGAGATTAAATATTTATTTGAATAATTTACACTGATATTTAGCTCAGTTCTTCCATATAGGTGTGGTACATTTGATTATGGCAAAGTACTCGTATACACGTAACACCTGGGTAAAACTAAGAAAACGAGCAAAAAGCCATGCCTGTCCGTCGGGATTCAAACTCCGGACCAAACTACCGGTATTCAATGACTTTACCCCTCGGCTCCTGTCTCACACAGATTGCTTACCATCTATGTCTTTTCATGTCATTTTCATCTTTATTTGATAAACAGTTTGTGTTAAAACTCACTCTTCATTGAAGATTCAAATTTTTGCGTCCGTTAAGGTAAAAATGATACAGACAGATTCTTTTTTAAATAGGGATATTCCATTCAGTCATTGTATTCTCGTTTTGCGGTTGAATCGACAGGTGTATAAAATATTTTTTATGAAGAAAGCATGGTTTTGTTTATCACAGTTATGGTAGTTTAGTTGATATTTCAGTTTTTTTAAAAAAATTTTCACATGCTGATTTGAAATTTCAGTTCCTCAATTTTTCAGCGAAGATGGAATAAATTTGGTTTTACCTTAACGGACGCAAAAATTTGAATCTTCAATGAAGAGTTCAAATTTTTGCGTCCGTGAAGGTAAAAATGATACAGACAGATTCTTCTTTCAATAGGGATATTCCATTCAGTCATTGTATTCTCGTTTTGCGGTTGAACCGACAGGTGTATAAAATATTTTTCATGAAGAAAGCATGGTTTTGTTTATCACAGTTATGGTAGTTTAGTTGATATTTCAGTTTTTTTAAAACATTTTCACATGCTGATATGAAATTTCAGTTCCTCAATTTTTCAGCGAAGATTGAATAAATTTGGTTTTACCAAAATTAAGCACGTGTTATATTAACTAAATTCGGTGTGGATCCACTTCTTATCTAAATGCATGCTTCTACATCGAACTGAAAATGTATCACTAAAGAAAAATAAGCAAAAGTAATGAGTTTAAATATCAAAAAAGGGGTGGTGAGTTAAAACTTAATCTTCGCAATGTGTTGAATCAGAAAACAAAGAGTTAACGTAAAGAAAAAATATTCTCTTAATTTAATTTGAAAAATGATTTTCTGTTGGCAAATTTAATTAAAAATGATTGACTGGTGCTTCTGTAAATGGGAATTCTATCAAGATTAAAATTAATATTTACGTAAAAGCAAAGCTCTACATTGAAATATAGAAAGCCTCTTCTCAGCTCTAAATCAGATTTATGGCCCCTCTAAATCAGATTTATGGAAAATACAGCTTCCGAATTGTTACATCATTTCAAAGAGTTATTTAAACACAGAAGATCGGGAAATTAATTTTAAAGACCTTCTCAAAAGTTTCGATACTGCTGAATGTGGAATTTAGTTAGGAAGCCATAAACGGATGATGCTGAAAACATACGTTTCTTAATCATTATTACAAATATCCTGAAATGTTGCAGAAATATTTTTAGACGATGATAAAATGATATTTTTCAGAACTTTCATAATAAGACCTAATTATAAAAGTATGATCACATTCCGACTAGTACACCTCAATAGAAATTTTTAAATGTGAAATAAAGGATGATAAAAAAATTAAAAATAATTCATGGCAGAAGATGTCATGGAATTTGAAATTTTTAAAACTTATTGACCAATTAGCGTTTCATTTAATTTTAACACTAGCATTGTAAGGATATTAAGTTTTACTAACGTTTATTTTTATTTTAAATCTTTACTATCACTTCTTATTTTCTACTTCCGGCCAGAATTAAAGGCTTTAACTTATTTATACAAATTTGTCTTGCGAACGCCAAGTACTTAAGTTGTGGCTTTTTGCCAAGCAAGAGAGAGGAAGGAGCTATTAGAAGCAGGCCGCTTGCCATAGTAGTTTTACTCGGTGTTGGTTGTCTTCAAGGCCAGAGGTTTAATCCTCTTGATAATTTTAAACGTATCGTAGTGTTAGCAGTTCTCTGTACTACATAAGGCTTTTTGCTAACATACGGCCAATCTTGGAGTAGGTACTTGTTTGACTAATCCAAAGTTAAGTTTAGTTAGAGTTTAGTTAATATTTTTATATTCTTACGTTCAGACCACAAGTGGTTGGTCTCTGTATTCCGAAGTCCGGAAATCATTGTAAAGAGAGAAAAATAAAGGATTTCGTATACCCTTCCTGTGTGTATTGTCTACTTCCCAAATTTATTGAACATAGCTTTAGTAAGCTCCCTGTTCCGAGTCAGGACATTTAATGTTCCCAAAGCAAGTAAGGAGGAACACAGAACCTGATAGCATTATCAAATGTAAGTCACTTTGCCGTTTGAAAATATTGCTTATTAGAATTCTACAAAGATTTTTGACAGTTAATAACATTTAAACGAATACTAAAATATTCAGAATTAACGCTCAGAAAAATAGTATTAACCTGTTTTCACCATTCATGCATTTCAGAACCAAGCAAGACTGCATCATTCATAATGATACTCCTCTTAATCTAACATTCTTCAACTTGGCGACTAACGGCTGACTTAATGCACGTGCTTATGCTTTTACTTTGACCTTCTCTCTTGCTCCTGGAAGAAGAAGGGGGAATATTAGATTCTCAAGAAATGTATAGATATATTCTAAAATACTAGTTTACAGTTGAGTTCTGAGTTCTGTGTAATTTTAACATTTTAATCTTTTAAATGTTTTATTAATTGATATATTGCTTCAGAATAAATAACCCAGCCTAGACTGTTAAGGAGACTGTAGAAAAATGCGTATTTATATTCTTCAATTTAAAACTCATTCCCTGTAAAATTTCTAAAATTTACCTGAGCTTCGGAAAATGTAGTGTAGTTATCGAAATACATACAGAAATGCAGCAGACACAGACTATACAGAAACGTAGCATTTCTTAATACAACATATGATGTTGAATTAAAATAAATTTGATGACGAAACAAATGATTGGAACATCGAAAAATACAAATACCAGCCAATTACATAGAAAAGCCAAATTTTGAGCACCTTCTCTCATCTTTCATTACAGTTAAATTAACTCATTTAATCTATTTGCCTTACAAGTAATTCATAAATATCTTATATGTGCTTTAGTAAGTGGATATTGATAAATATTACTAATACTATTTGCTATGACCTTATAATCATCACATATTCTAACTGAAAATATATGAGATTTAGAACCGCGTGAAATCGGAACAAGCAATAAACAAAGCATTCCTATCAAAGAAGAAAAAATACAGAATTCAGATATTTGATACTTAAGTTCACTTACTAATTACATTATATTAAAATGAATCTTTTCTTAAGCAGAAAATGGCCCTATGCTTACTTTTCAATGAACTGAGTGCACCTGACAGAACTCTGAAGCGTAGTTCCAAATATGAGTGCACTTTTCATGAAAGCCTTTGCCTGATGCTATTAAGAATGAAGAAGAAAAATATAAATGGTAAGCCCTGCAGGAAAAGGAGAAAAAAATTTAGAGATGAATGCAAATTTAGATAAAGTAGCAGATTTTAAATTACGAATAATACACACAGTTTGAAGAAAAAGCTGCATGTTTTCTTAACTTACCTACATTTTACCTTGCGAAATTGTTTGATTAGGCAAGTCTGAGCAGTTAGATTACAAACTACAGTTAAATTTTATGCAGCAGTTAGATTGGAAAGCAGGAGATTGCGTAGTGTTTATAGATTATCAGCATAAAATATTGTATTTTATTTTGAAAATTTCTATATTCGAATATACACGTCAAAGATCAATATTTAAGGAAAATCAATTGCGGATCCTTTTCAGAATCCTGCTCGTTATAAGGTCAGAATCAGATTGATTATACAGTCGTATGTTTGGATATTTATAATTTAATAATCTTTTACTTGTGTAAAAACATATGTTCGTAAGTATTACATGTAATAAAATATAACGCTAACAGAAATCATCTTTCTGGAATGGATCTTTTCTAGGCACAAATTCTAGTTTCTATCTGCTCTTCAGTTTTATGCTGATGTATCGAAAATAAATAAAGAGTTTTACACTCTTATAACCAAAGTCGTTTTAGTTAGCAAATTTATATCTATCAACGGTTTTCCACCTTTTGACTAATGCGAACCATCGGAACAAAAATTGAAAAACTTTAGTACCAGCACTACATTTTACAATGATTATTTTTCAATTTCTCAATATAAATATTAAAAAAAAGTATATTTTGATATTTTCCCAACCTGTTGGGTATTTGTATTAAATATGCACACATAAAAATATTAGATAAAAAATTGGTTACCATTTTAATGATCAAAATTTAAGTTATACTACTTTAATTCTAAAATTTATTATGAAACGTAGACCTGTTTAAAAGAGATCAGTTTCTTAATATCTGGTCATATTCCACTTAGCTTTAACCGTAAATTAGGATCCACTTTTAATTTTATTCCGCATTCTTTTCAGATATAACATGGAAGAAAATCCTTGTTCACACAAATAGGTTGTGCAAAAAGCGAATAAAAATTTAATAGCTTTATTTGAAATGGCTTTAAATTCATTTTTTTCCAGTTCAGTGTGTTATTTTTGAAAATCTTCAGTTAGAGTTCGATCACAGAAAATTTCTATCAATTGTTCTTTTTCTTCATGAGGGTTTTGAATTTAATAGTTAGAAATATTTTGTTTTCTTGTTAACCAACTATTTCGCTCTTGCGTACCAAAGGTTGAGAATCGTTGATTTATATTAAGCAAGAAGTACTTGTACTTAAATAAGTAATTGCATTTGTAAATTAATACTTTAAAAATAATTTTGTCTTTAAAAAATCATAAAACTATCATACAAGTTTTATTAGGTCAGTCGGAATTTGTTTAATGATGTAACTTTATTCATCCCCCCAGAGGTGTATTTCTTTGTAATTTCTATTAGGGAACATTTATTACAAAACATCTTAAAATAATTATTTTCTACGAACTATACGAACGTAGAGGGAAAAGAGGGAAAAAGAAGCTCAATGTTGTCAGCTTGATACTTTTTATATTAATGAATGAAAAAGTTTTAGCAAGTAAAGGAGTAATTCATAAAAATTCTTTGAAAGCTGTAAAAGCACAAGTTCGAGCAAAATAGGATAAATGGTAAAATAAAGAGAATGATGTTAATTATATTTTCATAATTATATTAACTTAGGAGATTTAGTGTCATTTGGATTATTTACCTCTTTAATATTTACCTCTATTAAGCCAAAGTTCTTTGCAAATCTTCATATGTTTAAATTATTTAATGTATTTAGTTTAGCAATCCACAGACTGCAGAAACTGCTTGATTATGAACTTTTGCTTCTCTTCTTTTCACTTCATTAAATTTCAAAAGAATAAGAATCTGAATTAAATGAAGATTTGCTAATTGTACTGATATATTTTAGAAAGAAATTAGAATTCCATTCACAATACGTAAATTTGGAAATTTTAGGGAGGAATAACCTATTGGATAAAAAAAGAACGCAAAATACATCGTTTCGAAACGGAAACCTAATTTGGAGATGAAATATGAATAAATGTAGTCATTAAAAAAAGGGCAAGTTTCATTGACGAAAACTTGTTTATTAAATTGTTACTTTTAAGCAGTGTGTCTAAAATTCATAAAAGAAGGAATTTGTGTGAAATCGGGTTGTTCGTGATATTTTGCTATGATGTTTTCTTCAGGTAGAATATTATTCTGCCGATATTTCGAATATAGATAAAAACATAATATCAAAAGTTTTTAACTTAAGAGTTCACTGTTGTTTAACGTCATATAAAAGTACACAATTCAATCATTAACCAATTAAAAATATTATCAGCATTGATATTGATTTCAGTGATAAGTAACTCAACATACACTTTTTATTTTTCTCAAAACTTTTAAGATGAAAAACTAGGAAAATTTTAAAACCTTATAAGCGTGTTTAAAATCTCATTCAGATATACTAAGTTTGTCAATTAAAATCAGTAACTGATTAAAACATTTCAGAAAATTTATTCATTAGTTCTTTAAGGAAGGACTCTGATCATAGTATATTATAAAGTATAAATAGCTGATGATTTGCTATGTCAAAATATAATATTATAATTAAAATACAGTATTATAATTAAAATATAATACTGTAATATCTAATATAATAATCTTCCATTACTTCTCAATAAAATAAACTCCTTTTATATCACATCTGCGTCTATGTTTTTCTGTAAACACTGTGCAAATAAATTAGCAGACCGTGCATTTAGTAAGTGATGATAAACTAGATTGTTGAAAAAGAAGTTCGAAAGTTGTGAAGAATGCGATTATTTATTTTACGACTTCATTCATATGTTATTGACAAAAAAGTATTAAGAAAGGTATTAGCTTTCTGAATGAAAACAATGCAGTGCACGAGTGAGGATAATCTTTTTGTTTATCGGCCATACTGGAAACGAACATGTGAAGTTTTCATTTTCATACCAAAACGTCTTTTCGAAGAGACCTTCAAAATTCAGAAATATTGTTAAATATGAACATAATATATATTCAGCATAATTATTGTCTTGTAAACCTATCGGGATAAATCCGTCAAAGTTGTGATATTCAACAGGTTGCGTATAAAAGTCTTTTATTTATTAACATTTTAAACAGAGAAAAAAAAAACCGGCAAATAACTTATGCTCAAATATATTGAAACGAAGTTAGGATAAAATACCTTTCAAAAGTAAAGAATCCAGATATTCCAGGTAGCGTATCTTTTTCTTCCAAAGTGATGCTGGAAGAAATTTTCCCACGAACATTTAACTAGTACAAAGGAAAAAGAAGAAGTAAAATAAAAAATTACTTGCTTACTTTTTACCTTTAAATGAGGGAAACGTCATCCGATGACGGTTATAAAATTTTTATACGATAAAACTTTATTAAGTTAGAAATTCAGACCTGTAGATTTCTCCATGGGTAACATGGCCGACGACGCTGTATCCGACTTTACTAGTCGCATCTCACGTCTGCTAAACATGCTGCGGTCGATTTCGGCACATGCGCAGGAGCTCAAAGGTTTGTCGATGAGAGTTAAAGCATGGAATGCGTGGGATTTGTCTGATTCTGAATCTTACCTGCAAAAAGTATTTGTTTACAAAAAACTCAAACGTAATATCAGTTTGAATGCTCATATACGATTCTGTAATTTCAGATGAGAAAAAGCACTTCACTCAACTGGGCTGAGATTTGACTTGTAATGTATGTTATATAGATTTAAATAATGCTTTACGCGAGACATAAGATTCAAATTAAATCACATTGACCAGTTTAACATGAATAGCCCAACAGCTGCTTTTGTTGGAATGAAGGCTCAAAAATAATATATATTACTAATTAGAGTATCCTAAATTAAAAGAGTTCTCAAATTTTCAGGTCCTGTTCTAATGGAGATAAAGTTTTCATATGCGATAAACGTTTACTTGCAATCAAAGTAAGGAAGAGCATCGTAATCCTTTACTATCTTTCTTCGCAATGTTCAAATACGTAATTCAAATAAAGAAACAGAATAGCAGAGCTATATACTTGAAATTTTGAATTTTGATGTAAAGAAAAATTGGTTTCAATTAAACTTCGCTATTGAAACGGCTAATTAAAATGTTAAAGTTTGCAAAATAATTCAATTAAAGAGGACGGGGAATATTTTATTTTGAAAAATATGAAACTGCGCTATTACGTCTTACATGAAAAATTATTGCAGTGTCGAAGTAACCAGTAACGAATATCGGACAGCTTCCTTTAGAAAACATTTCATGAAGATTTTATTTATTATAATCAGATGTACAATCGACGAAGACTTTTATTGTATACTATAACATAACACTCTACAACCTAAGATTTAAGAGCTAAGCTTTTAAGGTTAAATTTTTAACTTTTCCCAGAATTTATTCATGACGCATGAAATAATTTGGGAAACGATGAATGAAAAAGCAAACATGAGTAATCACACAAAATATCGAACATTAGACAAAAATACAGTTTGACAAGTAGTTTAAAAATAATATGAATAAGGATTATGTAACTGTCCTCCCACAAATGGACTTACATAAAAAACATAACGATCGTTGTAGTTTACAAGACTATTTTATATACCTTGTAGAGTTCCTCACTTCGTAATTCTAAGTTACTGTTGGAAGTGAAGAATCTTAAGAACTGATAAGAGAATTATCGCTTGAATTCGTGTGATAGGAAACAACAGGATAGAAAGGTAAACTAACCCTTTATTATTCTAACTAAAGTTTAACAAAACTCCGTCTTCGAGTGTACAATAAAGCCGACACTTGGGCTTCAACTTAAAAAACTAAGAACTAAACTAAACTAATCTAAACTAAAGAGGTATAGCCGAAGCTATCAAAATTCTAACAGAGTTGGCCCCTTAACGTTAATAGACTGCGAAGCTATCAGGGGCCTAAAGTACGGCGGAGCGTGATAATAGCTTACGAAACAGTAGCCTAAAAAGGCGGACGCGTGCAGCCAGAATACCTGGTATCTCTCTCACTAAAACCGAAGAACTTCGCGGTTAAATACCGCTCTTCTTCATTATGTATTCAGACGTGATTCTAAAACTACGTTCTGGACGGAAGTGGTAAGTTGAAGTTAAGAATCGATAGGAAAGGAAATTTAACTCAAAAAAATTTAACTGTTAATAAAACTAACATAATTCTTACATAACTTCCGACCAGACTTTAAATAGTAGCAAGCTAAAGATCTTTAAATGACCTTGTTTAAGACTTTAAAGTCTGAAAACTTTCTACGCTAAACTACACACCTCTAACTCTTGCATTAACTAAATTCATTTAAACTTCTGTCGTTTAGGGCCAAATTTACAGCCTATCTAAAGCTTAACGTTAATAGACTGCGAAGCTATCAGGGGCCTAAAGTACGGCGGAGCTTTTTGTCTTCCTTACAATTACTCCTTTTTTTTTTTTGCCTCATTTGGCCCTCATACACGTTCATTCATATTTAAACTTCTGTTTCCCCCGTGCTCTCCAGCAATTTGTTCTGAAATGTACTTATGTGTGTTACCGCGAACAAAATTACCGCTACACAACATCTAACGTGGTTAAACGTGATATACTAGACTTCACAAGACTCCCTACACGCCACCACTTTACTAATGTACTACGCGAAAGCTTAAATTTACTTAAAAAATGTTAACTGGAGAACCTAACATTAAACACACACATATATATTTTAAAACATTCAATTCTTTCACAAATTCATTTACACGGAGGCCAAAATTTATCTCATGTAAAAGTTTAAATTTACGACACTTTAACACAGAGTTTTAAACATTTCTTTCACAAAAACATTTAGATATTTACACATCACTTTTAAATTCATTTAAAAGTCATAGTTGCTTAATTACAATTTACCATCTTTACACGAAATCTTAACTTTAAGGTAATCAATTTCAGCATTCAAAGAGCCTGTACACTTCGTGACATTGAATTATACAGGTTCTGAATGTGACTCTGGGGAATGGCATTCCATATGGCCTCGAAATGACGCCAAAGTTCAGTCTTAGTGTGTGCCCCATCAGCGAGTAGCTGACCAATGCAATTTCAGACACACTGAGTGGACGACATATCCGGGGAATAAGCAGGCCATGAAAGAAGCGAAACTGTTGTGCCCTAAAGAAGATTTGTGTTTCTGAGTCTGAGAAACATATACACGGACATTATCCTATTGAAACACAGCTCCCGGAATGAGTGGAAGAATGGGGAAGACCTTTGGCTCCCCAACTTCCCTTATGCAGCATTCAATGTTGAGATTGCACGCAGTCTTCACTAGATGGGATCAGCAATTATACGCATAGCTCCTCACAATAGCTCCCCACACCATGATGACCGGCGTATGTGCGGTATGACGCTGGATAAGTGTGGGCTCAGAAGTTACCCTTTGTAATGTCTGACGCATACTCTTCCATCACTGTACTCCAGATTGTAGCTAAGTTTATCGGAGAAAACTTGTCCCAGGGCACGCTACGCATTACGTTGCCTTGCCCACTGAAGTCGGAGGCGCCTGTGATTCAGCGGCGATAGGAGAAACCCTTGCATGCAGTTCATGCCGCAGCAGACGGCGATGAACCGTCAAACTAGACAAAACATTTGTAGTCGTGATACAACGACTACAAATAAAGTAAGAGCCGTCACAGCAATGCGGATGAGGCGTCTGTAGTCCCTTGCCGTTGTGTTATTGCCTGCCCCACTGCCAGGATTTCGCCTTGTTTGATTTTTCTCTGCGCATTTCTTCCAAACACGCACCACTGTTGTGCATTACGCTGCGTGCGGACTGCGATTGCAAGATACAAAAGTCTTCCCTCTCGACACCGACGATGCGGCCTCGTTCGAACTCCTTTAGTTGTTGGTATGGCATCCTATGCTGCTGATGAGGCATACTGATCACTAATTAAACGTTCACCGCTAACAGAGGACAATAAACAGATTTCAATGCAATTTTACAGTCCTCTATATACTTGGAATAAGAGGCCGGTTCTCTTTCCACGCATACGCAAGAGCTTTATAATTCCAATGATTGCTTGTCTTACCTCATTTAACATTTACTGTAAGTTTGGTTCAATTTGCATAATTCCTTCATAGTGCTACAGATTTTCACAAACTTTAGTGTATAATGAATAGAAATGTAACACTTAAGAACTATTCGAAACAGATATATTACCAGTTGAGGATATGGGAAATCATTTCTGGTGTTTTAAAAAGTAATCATAATTAATAAGAAATTAAACGAAGAAAATATATTGACAGACCAGAAAAAATTTAAGCAATGGTAAATATTAGGGAATCTGTTGAATGGGTTGTTCAAACATTATGAATCCTTGTTTGGAGCTTTATGGCATCCGACAGAAAGATAACTCGAAATGATTACTGCTAAGTATGGGCGACGGTTGAAAATCACGATTAATACTTATAGTAGAATTTTCCTTATGCTGGGAAGGTGCAGAGTATAGTGTTCTAGTTTCAACTTTTGTACGCTTAAACAAAGCTCATGAAACTTGCAATTCTTTTATTTTATTCTTTATTTTTCAATTTATTAAGCATTATAAATAACTAATGCATATTTCCCCGTTAACTATTTGGAGAAAGTAGTTAAAATAGTTACATTGCATATAAATATTTTACGAAAAATTAATGTTGCTCCTTGCGTTACAATTAAAACCATCATTTGTAGGTAACCCAGATCTTAAACCATGCCGCTTACTAAATCAGATTTTTACGTCCGATAAAATACTAAATCATTGTCATATAAGGTACACTGGTTATTAAATCACTTTTCGCACTGACTCCGACTATTACGCCATATTCAAATACGAGATATGAATAAATTATTTAATGTTCAAAAACCTTTTTGCCCAGACTAAAATGCATGTTAACCCTTTTAAAAATTCAACAATTAATTAGCATCTGTCATTCAAGAAGGCAAACAAAGGTGGGCTTGCAAAGGTTGTGCTTTAAATATTACTAAAAGTTATTTAGCACCTACATGCCTTGGCGTCACGGCTCACAACAGAGGTTTATGCAAACTGAAAGGCGTGTATTCTAATTAAAAGTAGGATATTAATCTTAAACGTGAGGTTCTGATGATCTGCAGTCTTTCCTGAGGAAGTCGAATGCCAAACTGTAAAAGCACTACTCAGAAGATTTGGATAAACTCGGTAAGTGTTAGGAAAGTTAGCTCTCTATTTGGACCTCACAGGTTTGGTACATTGGAATTAGTTGCAAATTTTGACAAGAAGATCGCAATTCTTCCATTTAATTTTGTAACATACACAAATTGTGATTAATAAAGCTTTTTTTTTTAACTTTCACCTTTGTGTTTTATTTCCTGTTTAAAGTTGAGCAGTACCAGAGGCACTATCATTGTAGTTAAAAATTTTGTGGTTAGCTGTCAGATGTTTAGCACAA